GAAAGAAGAGTGTGTTTCTCATACAACAAGAAGGCATCAAAGCTGTAAGAGCATTGCAGAGAAAAAATGATTGAGAGCTGGTTAGATTTTAATGGAAGAGTGTAACAAGGGATTGCATAGAGTTGTGATACTGAGATAGTAGGGTGTATGTGGTAAGTTGAGACTGCAGAAGGAAGATGTCTGGCATGAAATTTGGAAAGCAGAGGTACAAGAATGACCACAGACTCATCTGAGAGCTACCTATGTCTTTTCAACAGTTAATCTGGAGCACGATAGCCAATGACAACGAAGATGGGGAACTGACTATGTAAGAAAATATTGCCTAGTACCTTGTTTTATTGTGTCAGAGTTGGCAGAAGCCCAAAGCTGGTAGTGCTATAAGAAACAGTGAAATATGAAAAGTTCTGGCAGGCAGTGTAGATAAAACAAGACTGAGGACAACTGGGACTACAGGCCTGATTTAATGAATCTAGTATGTAGGAGGAAAGAGCCAGACAACAGCAAGAAGGGAACCCACTTTATGAGGTACACCGGAGAACAATAGAATGTGTAGAAGTTGCTTCTTTGTGGGCAAGCAAATAGTTATGAAAACACCAATTATTTATTAGGAAAGATGTTTAAGGAATTCATAAACAAGAATGTGTTTTGAACCCCAGTGATCACTGGCAGCTGGATTCTTCTCACCTAATTTCACTCATCTAAGAGTTAATTGTCTATCCTAAAATAGCTACCCTAGCCCCCTCTCATGTCAATGGAGACAACAGATACCTTAAGATACCTATTAGAGATTCAACCTCTGTAAAAATTATTCTATTTTGACAGCTTGAGTTGCCCATTGGACATGCGTACGTCTCCTTGTCTATGTCTCTCTGTCTCTACAGGAAATCTAGTTAACTAGCAGATACCTAACTGCTCTATGACTAAGTTTAGCAAGGTGAATCCTTTCCCAAATTTCATAAGACTCCAATTCATGGTTCAAGCTCTTCTGTCAGTTTGTTGGTGTTAACATATGTTGTTAAGGATATGAAAGAACACTTTAAACCAAGGTTTTCAAATCTGATAGCAAATAACAATGCTAACACATTGTTACAAAAATGTGTATTTATCCATACAACCTGAATTTTGACAAAATCCCTCCTGACAGCACGGAGGAAGTGCGGAAGTTAAGGTTACAAGGTACTCTTCTATTATGAGATATAAACAACTTAAAAAAGCAAGAAACATAAAATTAGGGAATAAATCGTCCTTTTTCAAGAAAGGAGACTACAAGTAGAGATCAAAGGATTTATACCAATTTTTTGAATGGTTTTAGCAAGCAGCAAGAAAAGATGGTGAACAATGGTGAAGTTGAATCAGCAGGAGGAACACGTGAATTTCTTAAGTTAGTACAGAATACCATGAACAACTTACAGATCCTGTTTACAACATGCTGAGGAAGCATTATGACAGATGAAATACAGAGTAGATAGGTGCAAAGAGACTCACATTAAAAGGAACCATTTTAGTGACTCACATGGTAACAATCAGGGAAGCAAAGATGTATCATGGTGGATACAGCTGCTTATTGAAAACCTGCTCAATGAGGAGAGATAGAAAAAAGCAGGATGTTAGACTGTATTGAGATAAAGACAGAAAATGATGCTGAAAATATTATAATGTTATTATGTAAAACAGTAATGCATCCTCACTGTTATCATGGCATTCAGTTCTGATCACAAAATCTTGAAGAGATTAGTGTGGAAATTGAAATGGTTGGGAGATGGGCAGTAAATATTATTAAAGGCAAGGAAAAACTTGTTTATGAACAGAGATGAAAAGGACACAGACTACAACAGGAGTGCAAACAGCTGCCTGCTTTAGAAAGCCATTGCAATTTCTAGGAGAATTCTCAGTGTGTGCATAGATGATGCTGCTTGGATTAGTAGAATCTTGGAAAACAGTGAAAACACTGAAGCTTTAACTACTCTGTGTAATTTAAAGAGGAACAATCCCTACTGTGGGTAGTTTAAAGAACATAAATCAGAAACAGCTATTTATTCTTAAAAACAAGAGGAATAGGATTACAATGGAATTGCTTGTGTACATTAAAAAGCAACCTATTTACAACACAGAAAAAGAAGCACTGCTTTACACTACAGGTAAGTAATCTATGAACTCATTTCCATGAGAAGACATTGAGGTTTTAGTCTGTCAAGTTTGAAAAGGTTGTATGAATAAATAATGCATGTAGTCTACCTTAGTAAAGCTGACTAAAAACAGTATCTGAGACATTTAAGTCTTCAGGCAAAAAGTAAGCACTAGGACACATTACTTAGCAACTGAAACAGGCTACACGGGTTCAATTATCGTGACTCAGCTAACAAGCAGCAGCTTACTATTATCACTTGCAATCACCTCTCTTTCTCCCACAGTACTTAGTTTCCAAGGAAGTGACAAGTTGAGAGTTAACCTAGGATCATCTGCAACTGGAACATTTTACTATATTATTTATTTCCTCTTTTTTTTCTCTGTGACATTCTCAAAACTTTTCTCAAACTTGTCTTGTACTCTTCTTTCCTGCTTCTGAAGCTTCTTTCATCAAGTTACAAGACACCAAATGCCATGTGACACCATTTGCAAAAATATTTTGAATTCCTGCTGAGCCCTCTGAATTTGAGCACTCAGTTCTTCTGAAAACAAGGTTTTAAACTTATGACTAAATACGCTATCATTAGCCAAACATCACAGTTTGGCTAAGTCTTTACCCAGGCAATAAGATAAATTCAGGATCTCCTTCTACTTTGTGCAATTCTATTTACTTTTCAAATTATAGGGCAGTTTTTATAGAACTAGCTCAATTGTTTTTGGCTGTCCATCAGCATTATTCCTATGAGGAATCTGGCTCTCTTACCTCTTTTCTGCTCCCACTGAAATCAATGGCAAAATTTCCTCTGACTTCCTTCAGTAAAAGCAGAGGAACCAGTAGAGGGAGCACAAATACATAGAAATAATTTTCTGTGATTCCTATAAAAATGATAATGTGTACTATTTTTTCATACATTTCATTGCACTACTTTTTTTCTGCCCCCGATCCAAAATACTGCCTTGATCAGGCTCCAAAAGGTGTAGGTAAGGAGGCTCTGTGTTATTTGGTGGCCCTTCCTGCAACCCCTGGGACCTCAGGACTCTGTGTGAGAGTCACAGGTTAGACCCTGCAAAACTGATCTGGGCAAAATAATGTTTTCTACCTACACAGCATGGCTGGGCATACCAGCATAATATGGGGCCCATCTATGGCTATTGGACACAACCAGAGCTCTGCTGAGTGACCGTCTCTGCCAGCTGGTAGTTGCACAGGAGCACACAGGTTGGGTGAACCAGTATAATACAGCACGATAGGGCTAAACAACGACTTTCTACCTTGAACCCCTGCTCATTCAGCAAGCTGCAGCCTTCAGCAGCAGTTTGTCCCTTTGTGTGAGTGCAGTGCCGCTAGCTGTGCAGATAAAGGTCACACCTCCATCCCCTCACTGCCCGCTGATACTAGACGTCGCCTGGATGAGGTTGCTTTGCTGCAGGACTCAGAAGGTGTGTTGCTCTGTGGGTGAGAAGGTCTCAGGGAATAATACAGGACCTCTGTCCTCCTCTTTACTTCTAAATTTCATGAGTTTCAAACGGGATCTCAGGATTGCTATGCTTTTTGAGAACTTCCCCCATAAAGGAGAGAAAGATCTAATCTCTTCAGGGGACTGACTAAAAGGAAACACCCCACCCCACACACCCCCAGGTAACCACATGTAAACTGCTGAGTTTCTTATTCCATTGTCAGGCTTTCCCATGCTGGGGAACACAGAGCCTGCCTTCCCATCCAATCTGCTTTGAAACCACATCCATGCAACAATTGCAAAAGCACTTGCCAGTAGTGTAAGTCTGCTCCCATTAAAGAAAATAAAGTTAGATAAATGACAAGTGCTTTGGAAAATGCCTCTGCTAGATACCACAGAGGACAGGATGGAGAAAAGGGTATGTAACCACTTGAATGTGAAACATTTTCAAAACGAACAAAAAATTCACCTTAGAGATCCATTTGCTCTCTACTTCTAAATTTAAAAAAAAAAAAAAAAAAGAAAGAAAATAATCAGTTTCGACTTCAGTGGGGCCTGGGATTCTCAGAAACATACAAAAGGCTGCTACCTGTGACTGGAGGTGTAGGCAGGACTAGCAAACAAGCACTACTAGCAATAGGAATGCTAAGCTGAACATTTAAGTGAGTGACACTTTTCTAAGTACCTTTTTGGTAATCATATTTGATGTCTTTTCCATCCTCAATTTCCTCTCTTTCAGAGAAAAAAGGTGGCACTACAATTCTTTGCTCTACAGATGTAGACAAAACTAATGAATTTGACTTTAGAGTACTAGAAAAAGAATTACAGAAATCTTTTCAGACCTCAGTGAAGTTGCTGCACCCATCCTGAAGTCTGTGAACTACCTGGTGCCTCACACTGAATAGTAATTTCCCTAAAAATACTTTCTGTATTGTGCAAATACAGATTGCAAATATATGCAAATATGCACAATCAAATCTTATTTTCCAGTGAAGAAGACTAATAATTTTTTATATTTTTCTTTGTTTTCTCTGCACGTTCCAAAACATTTCAAACCCCGGTCCACTAGATGACCACTAACCAAGGAACACAACTTTATAGGCCAGATAGGCCTCTCCTGTCTCATATTCCTACTGTGCTTTTACTGCAGAAAATTTCTCAGCTGGCCCTATATTGACCTTTAAAAGAAAAATAAAACCAAAACTGGATAACCCCTGAATGTATAAATAAATTATATGACATTATATAATAACTACATATATAGTATGCACTAATATACTACGTATGATAGAATTCATCTTTTGTTATTAAAAATGATAAAGAAGCCAGAGGTTTTAGAAAGGCCATGAGAGAGTCCAAGAGGAGTACATTTCTGCGCATCTCTTTTGATAATCATTTAGGCTACAGACACTTTACCTGCTGGCCTGGCTTGAGCGGTGATAGTGTTATTCCCTGGGTATTGATCACTGGGAGTATCTGGTTGCCGATGACAGTAGCAATGATCTGACCCTGGGCATTGGTCAACAACTGTGGAGTTATCGGCTGCACCTGAAGTCCCTGAGCTCCACCTGCCGCCTGGCTGGAGGGGACTGGATTAGGCATCAGTGGGATTGTTCCAATAATCTGGAAAAACGACACAGAAAGGGAAAATGCACACTTGCCACACATAGTTGTTTTATGCATGTTAAACTTAGGTAAAATAAGCACAGAGAGACAGATATGACAGGCTGAGGGTGAGAAACAACCGCTCCTTTACTGGTGTGATGAGGACTTTCAAACTCATTTGTCACGTCACAGATCACCTGTATGTTTTACCACCACCCACTGTCATCCCCAACAAATCTGCTGTGGCTGACAGTGTATGAAACAAATGCTGGACCACGCTCTGGCCCCTGGATGATGCTTTATTCCCACCGCTCATTTGAACACAGAGTGAAATAGATGCAAATATCAGTCTGTCTCGCTTTCTACAACTCATCCGTACAATGTTATTAACTGCGAACTGAGGGGCTTATGTAATTTTCCTTGATTTACTGATACCTAGTACTCTAGATGACCACCTATTACTCCCATGCGATCTCAGGGAGGAACAGAGAGATACTGGTGCCTTTCGGGACATGGCTTATTAAGATATGTTCATAAAAATGCAGCTGCTTTTGGATAACAATCAAGTAGTACAACACAACGGGAGAGCTGGTGTTAGATAAAACATTTTAGCTAACATTTCTGGGGCAAGTACTTGCAGAAAGAGACACTTGTGACATCTCAGACTTGAGAATACAGTGATTCCTTAAAATGTGAACGTGCCTGTAAAACTAATATTAGGATGAGATGTCAAACAGATGCTGTAAGAAAGCTCGTCAGTCAATAAGCTGCTAGGCTGAAGAAAGTTACACTGATGGAAGACTCTTTTTACAAGTATTAGAGCATCTGAAACAATCTTCTGATGACACTTGGGAATAAAACCAAACTTTCTTTTTTTCCAAAAAACTACAAATGAAGCTAGAGTCATAGGATAGTTGCAACAGGAAAAATTAAAAAAAAAAAAAAAAAAGCAAAACACATCTCTATTCCCTTCACCACATCTCCTCTCACTTTATCATAGACCCCCAGAAACACCCATCCCACTGTAAGGCTTCCAGTCTTCCCTCTCCAAAAGCCTTGCTTTCCTCCTCTTTATCCTCAACATCCACCACACTGCACGTCCCTTTTGTTCCTCACTAGTATGATCCCAGTTGCCCAGTGTCTCTTATCACATACATTGTCTAGCCTCGAAATACTTGGCTGCTGAGAAATAGAGTGATTATGGCTCAGTTCTCCCATTCTTTCCTCAGTGGGGCTAGTAACAGTGTAGCTTTCCTCAGTCTATCTGCTGATTCTCATTACATTTAGGAGCTTAATCATCTTTTAGAGCTCTTTATTTCTGGTAAATTTTTTTGAAATTGGTCAGCTGTTTCAAAGCCATTAGGTAAGTATGGAGAGATGGATGGATGGAAAGAGGGACAGAAGGATAGACAGCACTAGTCATAAGACTAGTTTCCTCATGAAAACAGGCTAAAGTGTTTCTAGTGAAACTTAAAGGCAAATTTGTCTCCAAAACAAACATATAAAATTCCTACTGATTTCAACAATTAATTTGTATTGTCTCAATGGAACAATACGGTGTAAAATTAGCTCCAAAGTAAGTGTTTAATGAAAACATCAGTGGCTTTGTGGGCAGACCACTAAGTTACTTTCTGAGAGTGCAAAACTAGAGGAACAACTCTGAATCTCTTGCTGAAGATATAAAACGGACTGTCGTGGTTTAACCCCAGCCAGCAGCTAAGCACCACACAGCCGCTCACTCACCCCTCCCCCCACCCAGTAGGATGGGGGAGAGAATCGGGGGAAAAAAACAACCCCTAAACTCATGGGTTGAGATAAGGATAGTTTAATAGAACAGAAAGGAAGAAAGTAATAATGATGATAATAATAATAACAATAATAAAATGACAATAATAATAATAAAAGAATTGGAATATACAAAACAAGTGATGCACAATGCAATTGCTCACCCCCTGCCAATCGATGCCCATCTAGTACCTGAGCAGTGATCTGTGCCCCCCCCCGGCCAACTCCCCCCAGTTTATATACCAGGCATGACATCACATGGTATGGAATACCCCTTTGGCCAGTTTGGGTCAGCTGCCTTGGCTGTGCGCCCTCCCAACTCCTTGTGCCCCTCCAGCCTTGTCGCTGGCTGGGCATGAGAAGCTGAAAAATCCTCGACTTAGTCTAAACACGACTTAGCAACAACTGAAAACATCAGTGTGTTATCAACATTCTTCTCATACTGAACCCAAATCATAACACTGTACCAGCTACTAGAAAGAAAATTAGCTCTATTCCAGCCAAAACCAGGACAAGGATACATGTGTGAACTGTGTTGTGAAGAGTAACAGGGATCTGTAAAGACTTCTGCATATTTAAATCACCAGAGGTGATACACAACAACCCCAGAAAGTCCATTCCTCAAGGAAGCATCATGCAATGATGGCCAACTAACTCAGGCATAGCTGGAGGGGCAGGCATCTTTTGTCAGAGGATCACCCTCTTTCTTCCATTATTAGGCTAAGATATAACTCAATCAAGTGATGGCATTCTAATGAGTGACTGCTCCTTCAGCAGTCACAGCCTGATGGTGTGCCTCTTGGTAGGCTCAACTGTGAAGTACAACATGACAACTTAAACTGACTCCTTGTGTGAAAAAAGTGCACTTGGTTAGTGACAGCAGCTCAGCTAACAAGTGGTAGGTGCTGAAGTCATCATTAACTTACCAAACTTGCCCTGTTAGAAGAAGTTTGGATGGGAAGACCAGAGAACCATAAAGAAAAACAGGACAGCTCTCTTGTGGGAGGACCTGGTAAAATGACAGGCTCATCTCCTAAGCTGTATTGTAAGAGTTGCATATATCAAAACTGTTCAAAACACTGTAAAGATATCATTTAAATTCTCCTTAATGCATTCCTAAAAGATAGACAGATCAATAAAGATTATTATCCCCATTTTACAGAGCATGAAAGTGAAGCACAATGGAGCATATTCAGACAGAGGCTGCAAGTTAGCCTTCTAAGCTGGAATTTCCTGTGAGTTTCTCTCTGCAGATCACAATACTTTTATTTATTTTTTTTTTTTTTTTAAGTGTCCCTAACTGAACTGCAGCTGCTTTACTGTTCACGTGAGAAGATGGCTGTTCACTGAGGGAAGGATTTATTTACATCATTATCAGATTTCAGAATGTTCTAAAATCTGACTTTCAGGTGTATTAAATACAACTTTCATGCAGTGCAACATGTAAATTTCTCCTAGTTTTTGGCAACCTAAAATATTTATGGGTCACAAATATATTCTTCCACTTTTAACATATCTCAGCAAACTCAAGGAATAATCCTTCTTAATTTTATCAGCAGAAACATAGCGAAGGCCTCTCCTTCCTTTGCCATGTCAGTAAAGGACACGACCTTGGAGTGTCATTACTCCAATGTAACTTTAACTATCAAGGTCCTAATCCCAGCAAAGCAAAAAATGCTGTGCTGGTGTTATCAGTAATAGAAATGTTTGCATTCACATTTAAAATGCATTTCTTGGACTGCAGTTGGACATTTTATAGAATGACAGTGCTGAAGTGGACAGTTTGTAAGGTCAGAAGCAGAAGGCTATCTGTATGTATTAATGTGTGTCACACACCATTCTGTACATGGCGTGCTGTACATCCACACAGCCAGAAACGGAGCAGGGAAAACACAGCTGGGAGACGTGTTCCAGAAGGACAAATGAACAAATGCCCTCAGGGGTGTTACCACTGGAGCCAAGGGTAAAGCTGAATGGGAAACAGTTTTTCCACTTTCTGAAACTTACTGAGATTTCAAGATTTTTTTTCCATTTTATACCAAAATAAAGTAAAATCTTGTCTGGTTAAAAAAAGACATCCACTTGTTTCTAGTTAACCAACAGGGCTACTCTTTATGGTGTGCATCTTTGATATGGCTAAACCCAGATTCAAGTTTCCCCTTTCAAGTTCCCCCTTCTCCAAGTACCCTCTCCTAAATACACTAACAGCTCCCTGATTCACACATAAGGAGGAGTACTGAAACTGGATCCCCTTCTCAAACCTCATGTGATTGTCCTGATGCTGGGCCAGATCCCTCTTCCTCTAATTTTGGTATGAAATTTCACCCTGGGCCTTGCTAATCTGTCCTGTTAAAGTATCATAAAAGCTGGTACTTTATGAAGACAATTTATGGTTTTGATACATTTAAATATTCTGAAGAAATAAAACAAGACCATGCCACGGGCTTGACACACTGGTGTGCCACAGTACAGATTATTTAATTGCCAGTGATTTCCCTAGTGGGGAGGCATCGCAACTTTCTAGCAAATGCTGCTATTTCAGGTTATATTCAAGGACAGTTCAGGAACAGCATGTGACAGGGACTTATCCCACAGGATACTTATAGAATCACACAATCACAGAATAGTTTGGGTTGGAAGGGACCTTTCAAAGATCATCTAGTTCCAACCCCCCTGCCATGTGGGGGTTCAAAGCCCCATCCAACCTGGCCTTGAACACTGCCAGGGATGGGGCATCCACAACTTCTCTGAGACATAGCAGAAGAGGCTTCTTACTCTATCAACGTTTGGACTCAAATTCATAAACAATCCCACCTGTCAAACACATTCTTGAGAAAACAAAGGCATCCCTAAAAGTCCTCATGCTACAAAAATATAATTTTAAAAGTTTTGTGGGTTTTTTTACACTATGCATGTGACTTTCACAATTCTTTTTATACCTCATACAAATGAAACCAAGCACTAAGTGTTCACAGAGGAGTTGCAAAACAGGTGGCACAAGCAAAACAACAAATAGACAGTTTTGAAAGTCCAAGGGTTAATTCAAGGGAGACCCTTGTCAATGCTCCATAACCTCTAAGGGTGTCAGGCACAGTAATCTGCAGAGCGCTGCTGATTAAAATAAATTACACCTGGTTGTATCTCTCTGAGGTACAGGTTCCAGATATAGGCACAAAATGTAGTGCAGATGTGACACTGGAAATTGTACCAAGATATTTAATGTAAATTCAGAC